AACTCTACAAATGACACCTTTAAAAAAAAATGCCACTGTTTGGTGAAAATACTGCCTGACATCTGAAACTGAGAGACATCCCTAGACGCCATATATTTACCCTGGCGAGGCTCTGCCAGGCCTGTAATGCAGTCATTTTCAGTTCCTACTTGTTTTAGGGGCTTTTTGTCTTCAGTCTTGACTTCAGTAAGTGCATGTTCAGTGGAGTTCAGGTCGGGCGACAGTTTTGGCCCTAAAAAACTCCAGAGCTGCTGTAGTTAGATCAACATGCTTTTGAGGCATTTGCTTGGATCTGAGCAGATATGAGGGGTGTTACAGTATGCACATTAATATTCTTTTTGACACTGTAAGGCAGTATACACGTTGAAATATTTGTGATACAGACAGAACAATGATATTCCTAAAAGCGACCACTAAAGTACGGAAAAACTCTCCTGCACTGCAAGCGAAACCACTTACACTTTGTGTGCATTTAATTTTTTTTGTTATTCCTTCACCAGATGCTACCGTCTTGTTTTAATTGGACTTTGAACAAAAAATGTAAGCAAAACAAATGCTGCCATATGTTTTGTACTATTGTGACACCTATTGCATTGTAAAACTGGTGTCATTACAACCAGTCATTACCACCCTATATTGTGTACATTAGAATTCATTTTGCTATTGCTGTTAGCAGTCACATCATCAATAAAGACAAGTCAGCCATCTTCACTGGAGCCATACATAATAATTTCACATGAGGTGGTTTTGGAGTCTCTGAGACATCCATGCCTACACCCTAGATAATGTCAATCAACAAAAACAGCTTGTTTTTGTGCCACCACTGGTCTTCTGTGGTCTGCTGCTTTGTTTGCTGTTATGCTCACTTGTGCATTCTTGCTTCTTAATAATAACGTTAAACATAATACAGTTTTGATAAACAATGTCCTGCTGCTTTTATTTTTAGGATGTACATTAAGAAAGAACTTTTTAGTAATTTAACTAGAAATACTGACATTCTGCTTTTTCCTTAAAGTTTTAAATCTCATCTTTGGTTCATCACTCTTTATCACTGGTACTGATAAACACTCCTGTGCAAAAGGCATCTAAGACCTGGTAGGCAAAGCCATTTATCTGAAAAGTAAACATTTATTTTTTTAACACTAACTTCTGAATAAATACAGATAAACAAATAAACAATACATTAGTTTCTATCTGTCAGTGTGTTAGCTTAGCTATTTCCTCTTCTTGAGGAGGCCCAGATTTTACAGTTACCATAGGAAAGAAAGGGGCACAAACTAGCATGGGGTAAAACGTAACATGGATATATATATATATATATATATATATATATATATATATATATATATATATATATATATATGTGTGTGTGTGTGTGTATGTATATGATATTTTTCCAAAATATCATTAGACTGATGAACAAAAAAGGCACCGTTTTATAGCCAGCCAGTGGTGCCAATAAATGGGACAGGGCTTGAATCCAAGCAAATTATAATAACAGATTCTTTACTATTTTTTTTAATCATATATGTCCACCGTCTTCTAAAAAAAGCCACTTGAGGTTGAGATACAGTTTATTAACTCATGGCCTTCGCGTCATGTCTAATAACACCTTTACTTGTGATAAAATCACTGTAATGCACAGCCTCAAGTGGTTTATTGCTTTATTGGCTACACTGTATACATCTACCTTACTCTGGTGAAGCTGTCACATGCCCATTCATCTGGACCAAGCAGGCCTATATGCTAATATAAACATCCCCATGAGGCTGGTACATATGGATTCGTAAAATGAGGAGGAGGAGGATAGAGGAGACAGAGGAGGTGTGCTGCAGTGCAGTAAGGGAGGAAGAAGGAGAAGGAAGTGGGAGAGGTCGGCAGTAACATGTGACTGCATGTTCTTGACTGCAGGTGGAATGGCAAAGACAGTGGTGCAGCGCCATGTTAACACATCCACACACACATACACACACAGGCCTCTGAGTGTTTCAAAAATAGAGTACTCTCCAGGACTCAGGCAAGGTTAACGTGATCGGACAGCACTCTCCGCTCTCTCCTGTTAACCGCTGCCTGCGAGGATCTTTTCTTTTCATTTGGAAACCACTGCTCCTTTTCTGCATAGCATTTTAAATTCACCTCAAATTAAACCATCACTTCAATAGAGCTGGGAAAAATGATTAATTCTTAGCTGCATCTCTTAAAAGATCTGCATTGATGCATATAAACATAATCAGACTTAAGCTTAAGCAAAAATTACAAAGTTCAATTTGCAACAGTTCCAAGCATTTGAGATGAAAAGTAAACACTATAGGCTTATATGTTATGTATGATGGTAAAGAAAAAAAACAGATCAAATACGTTTTTTAGTTAACCTAATATGCCTATAGATGTGCACCATGTTTAGGCTACATTCAGATCCTAACTAAGCTAATGCTACTTGTGAATATGGACAAATATGGGAAAAAAATCCTAAAGTAGGATAGAGAAATGAAAAATCTAAATAAATCATGTTATAATCATATGACGCCCTGAATCAAAACCTAATCAAATCATGAAGTGCCTAAAGACAATACATTATACATTATTACAGGACATTAAAAATAAGCCATTATGCTATGGTAAAAGAAACGTGACATCCTTTGAGGAACATTTTCAGCTTTGTCAAGGGATGTCAAACTCAACGAGTAAAAGGGTCATATAAAAAAAAACCCTCAAATCTATTTCATTTTTAATTAATGTTGTGCTATAACCCGAAATGGCCATTGTTTATTCTTTACTTCAATAGTAAAGTATAGGCACTTGTAGTAGACCTTGAAATATTACATCAAAACTCCAAATTTTCAAAATTTAAATGTCCCCAGGACCTATCTGCTTGAACGACACACCTGGCATCCTGGCTCAGGTTGTGAGCTGCTAAGTTGACATTAAGTGCTTATATTGGTTGAACTGCATCTGAAATGCAGCTAGTGCATTTGGCGCTATGACTGGTGTGGAATTGCGTAGAATTGTGTAGAATTTAGGTTTAACCATAGTTTGTTGTTGGCGAGTACATAATGTTGCAGTGCATGCTGGGGACTGTAGTGCAGCACATTGTGAAACAGATGGGATTGTGTTGGGCACATGGTTTGACACATGGAATTACAGCTTGTGTCCCGAAGGTTCAGCTAATTTGTAAAATAATGAAAATATGATTTTCCATAGGCATCTATAGCCAAATTCCAGAGAGAATCCACTACAATGATTAAAAAAAAAATGAATTTTATTCAGCAGGGGGACTATTAGCATGCAAGTCACTTTTGAGCACCTCTTTTAAAAGGGAAGAAACACCAAAGGAAAATGCCTTTCAAAAGAATATCTCAGGAAAAGTAAGGCATTCTACACTAACAGACTGCTGTAACATTCCTGTATTAGAAGAGCTACATAAGAAAATTATAAAATCTTATTAACTTATGTAAAAAGACGGGAGTGCGATGAATCAAACATCATCTGTGAGATAATATTTTGATATAGGCTCACACTGATTTCAAACAGGACTAAGCCATGACTAGGAGAAGTAAATGAGATTAGGAGATCTAACTTAGAATATTTCTTTCTTTTCTGAATGCACTTGTTTGAAGTAACACATGAGTTGTAAAGTATTAAAGTAAATAATGTGTGATTTTCATTATATTAATTGATGTTAAACAGGGGGATATAATCAATAACCCTAATGTCTTCACAAGAACATAAATATCATGGTAGTTATTTTTAGATATCATCCAGACCTAATTCCTGCTTAAAATTAAAAGTTGTCAGTCATTAACGTAACATGCCTTATTGCACTTTTTGCAGAAGTCAACAAACTAGCAATGCTAAGTTTGTCAAGTTTGTCAAATCCTTGTTGTCCAGCATCATCCCTTTTATCAGTCTACGGCTCTGGCTCCTATAATGGAGCTAAACCCACCTGACAAAAGCCCTGGAAATACCCTGTAAAATAACAACAGCAACAACAATAACAAAAAAAACAATCCTCCTATGCAATACAAAGATAGCATCCCCCAATAGCTCAGAGTGCCCAGCTATCTACAAAATGTCATAAAAACTTAATGCAGCCTCGCTCCTTAATACACACTCCACAAGGCCATTTCAGACTCCGAGTTGAGTTCAATTTAAGTTGCTGGAGTATCCCTGAACAGAAAGAGGAAATACAAAATGTGCTAAGAGTAAAAAGAGAAATCCTATTAAACCCCCCAGGAAAGGTTACACAAATAAAATCAAATCCCATGAGTTACACATTCCTTTTGGACCTCTGTTGCTGAAGAAGAGGCCAGGTTCACTTTTTCTACACAACAGTGAATAAAGATACTAACTAAATGTCTATACGAGTCTCCAGGCTGATGTGCACTCTTTCTATTCAAATTCCAAATGCTAGTTAGGTATGAAGTCTAAGCCCAGATGCACCTCTCATTTCTGAACTTTGACTAACAACAGAGTCAAATACAACCATATTATTTCTAGTATATTTATGTAAAAAGCATTCTCCCATATTTCTATCAATGAAACAGCATTGAATTCTAAAATTGGGAAAAAATGGATCACAGGAAGGAAAAGAGAAGAAGGTCCAATGCAACAATCCAGTCAGTTGACATCTGCATAGCCAATCATAAACTGCTCTCAAAAGAACCTGTCTTGAAAGAATGCTCCAGGATTTTTCAGCCTAATCTCTATCTGCTCCATCTGTAGTGTCTAGTCAATTACTGCAGACAATAATTTCCCTTTCTTACAAGGGAACAGAAGACCTACTGACATCTAAACCTGTTTATAATAGAAGCCAAAAAGCAGATGCTATAGTGATTATAAATGTGTTTCATGAGAAAAAAGTATTGGGAAATGCATTAACATTATTGTCCATGGTAACCAGCCATACAATACAGATGTGGCAGATAGATATAAGATTGAAAAACACTGAAATATTCATTTTAATAGGCTAATAGGTTTGAAAGAGTCCGAATGCCACTTACCTCTTTCACAGGTTCTGGACCAGTATCCAGTTCCAGTGCAGTCACAGATAAAGCGGTTCCAGCCCTCTTTGCAGACACCATTATTTTTGCAGGGGTTGCTGTCACATTGCTTGCCGCTTACTTTGCTGCAGGAGGACTTGATCCCAGCCCTGTTCTGGGCCTCTGCGATCTGTCGGATGTCTTTGCTGCGCCCATCAATGAAAAGGTCCCGAATGCAGCCCACATAGCCGTAGTTCAGCATAGCGGTCCACAGTTCCGTGGGCAGGACCAGGTCAGCCCGGTTGTCGGGAAGACCTCCCAGATAAAGGTCCCCTTCCAGGTCCAGAATCTCATTTTCCCCAGTGGCAGTGAAGGGTGTTCTGCGGCTATTCACTGAGATGATTCCTGCGGAGGAACCAAAAATAGGCTGATATGTCAGGAGCTCATATAGAAGACTCTACATTTATTAACTCCTTTCTCCCTAGGCTTATTATTCAGTACTTTCTAGGGCTGCACCACAACACTGCAACACCCTAAAGGTAGCATGCTAACAGCAGTGTCACCACTACAACCACATGAAAACACAGTTCAGTAAAGGGAAGCCTATTTTAGACAGTAACCCCTTCTGCGGCAGAACATAATGAGTGCACTACACTCATTACATTCACATTAGGAGGCAACAAGTCAGTGAACATGTTGCCTAAAGTTTGTCTTTTGTGGGTGTGTTTGAGGCTGTTCTTGTTGTGCATGGATGTGTAATCTATTGAGCTACTGACACAAATATGAAAAAAAGTATTGCTTAAAATAACACGTTGTTTAAATCATGAAGTGCTGTTATAAGTTCACAAGTTTGTCTTTTTTTGTCCAATACTATTGGTAATAGGAATGAAATGCTAGTAGGAATAAAAGTTTCAGAGACCAGAGGCTGGGAACCTCAGAGCCCCATGTATATGTTTGGTCCAAGGATTTAGTATGAGCCGAACATTTAGATTGTCGCTTTACCAAATCATTGTTTAACTATGTAGTTAAATTATGATAGTTTAGTTGAGAGTTAACTTTCAGCTTGACTTGTTGCTGTGCCACCGTGTTGTTTGCCACTTGACACTAAATCATGACTACAAATTGCATATTTCTATAGGAGATGACTAGATGCTTGTCACGTTGTCACCTGCTAGTGTGAACTTGGATGGATAATCAAAATGGCCTTTATACTAGCCAAGCTGGTATACGCAAGCACAATTTTATGCTTCAAGTCTATTTATTTGCCACTTGCTGCAAGCAGCATGCCAGTAGAATCATGCACAAAACACACTCCCACTCTTCATTAGAGTAAAAATAAAAGGTTACAGAAACAAGCAATTTAGGGCTGTATCACTTTGCTGCTGGCACAAAACAAGCTTGTGTTTATGGACCCCTCTGCACCATTTTTTTCCAGTGGTATTAAATACTGTGGTGCTAAAAATGAGTCACTTCAAGAGCTCTAGTGACTACTATGAATTATTCACTAACTACTAAGAAAGTAATATGTAAGTTAGTTAGTTATGAGAGTGAGGAACTGAAATGTGGTCCCAAATACACTTAGAGTTACAGACTAAAGGTTTAAATGTGAGGCAGCAGTGTTATCCTGTTAGTATTCAATAAACTAAAAAGTAACTCAGAATATACACCATGAAGAAACTACCCAGAATGTCACAAGAGATCCTTAAAAGAATGAGTGTGCTACTTGTTACAGCAGATGACACAATGATTTACCACAGGGTACTAGAATGCAGGCTTTTCAGAGTAGAAGCATCAATAAACAGGGATGTAAAAGTAAGGACAGAAAGAGATGGAAAGGACATGCTGGGGTTTTCCACCAGGGTTTATTATACAAGTTTTCTGTGTCTCCAAACACCCACATGCCTATTTATCTGTCTAAGCTCTTTGTTCCAGAGAAATACAACTTTTTCCAGCCTTTCATGTGGGCAGAGTGGTGATTAATCAAGCCGTTTCTGGCTGACTTAGGTGCAAATCAACCTCAAGCTGATATATAGCTAACATAGACCAGGGGCATAAAATAAGAGCCTCCCTTTTCTAGCTGTAAAGCCAAGAAGCGTCCTTTTGAAGACTGTGACAAAAAGCAAACTGAACCCCTTTTCTTCACTGTAATCATCGTCTACTCTAATCATCCTACTTTTTCCAGACATTCTGAAATATTTAATGAGCCATACAGGGTATTCACACCTTTAATACCAGATATTACCTAAGATAATGAACCTAAAGCAATTTCTGAAAGTCATGTATAATTTACCAGGTTGATGTAGGTTCTACTTACAACCGCAAATGTATGTGTGAGTTCACAGAATAGCCTATTCTAATAAATGGAAAATTATCATTATTATTGCTGTTATTATTAGTTATATTCACTTTGTCAGAAGAATGTGATGTACTGAATCAAAGATCTGCTTTGAATAGGCTCCTACATAGCTAATTTCTCTCTCAGAAATGAGAGACATCTAACACCCTTTGCTTTTCAGTGTTGCATAAAGATGCATGTCTGTATGCATGTCCTATTCACAAACACATCTTTTAACGAGAAAAAGTGCAAAAAATCTCACAGTAGAATGTCTCGAGTTGTTGACCATTTACATAAGTCACAAAAAAACCAAAAGCTACAGTACTATGCAAAAGTCAGAGACCACCCTCCCATTTATTTCCACTCAAAATGGATATTAAGAACAAGATATTCACGTGTCAAAAAAGCAGGAAACGTATTTAATAGAAAATTGTACACAAGCCTCAACAACTACAACCCCATTTCCAAAAAAGTTGGGATGCTGTGCAAAATGTAAATAAAAACAAAATGCAATGATGTGCAACTAATTTAAACCTTATATTTCATTGAAAATAGTACAAAGAAAACAAATCAAATGTTGAAACTGAGAAATTTGATTGTTTTTTGAAAAATATTTGGCCATTTTGAATATGATGCCAACAACACGTTCCAAAAAAGTCGGAATGGGGGCATGTTTACCACTGTGTTTCATCACCTCTTCTTTTAACAACACTCAGCATTTGGGAACTGAGGAAACCAACTGCTGTAGTTTTGAAAGTGAAATGTTTTCCTATTCTTGTTTTATATAGGATTTTATATATTTCAGCTACAGAATCACTACAGAATAATGTCTGTTTTTAATGCAGTACTGCCTGAAGGCCCAAAGATCATGGCCAGCAAATACTGGTTTTCAGCCTTGTCCCTTGCATACAGCGATTTCTCCAGATTTTCAGAATCTTTTAATGCTATTATGTACCATAGGTGATGAAAAGCAAAAGTTCTTTACTATTTTACGTTGAGAAACATTCTTGAATTGTTGCACTTTTTGATCGTGCAGTCTTTTACAGAGTGATGAACCCCTCCCCATCTTTACTTCTGAAAGACTCAGCCTCATGTTACTGAACTGTTGCCAATTAACCACCAGATATTTTTTTAAGCATTACACAACTTTACCTGCCTTTTGTTGCCCCCATCCCAACTTTTTTGGAACGTATTGCTGGCATTGAATTCAAAATGGGCATATATTTTTCAAAAAACAATCAGTTTCAACATTTGATTTGTTGTCTTTGAAGCATTTTCAATGAAATATAGGGTTTACATGATTTGCACATGATTGCATTTTGTTTTTATTTACATTTTTCACAGCATCACAACTTTTTTGGAAATGGGGTTGTAAATATATTATGAATTTTAGAGCATTTACTGTGTTCACTCTTTACCTTTATTACAGCTTTCATTCTCTTCGAGAGGTTTGCTTTCAGTTTTTCATAAAAAAAAATCAGTAGTGTGTTTGGTGTTGTTATGCTGCTGTAGAATCACTTTCTTTCCAAAGCTTTTCCACAGGGTATTGCATGATGTATTAATATTTGTTTGTACTGTTCAGCATTTATGACACTTGCAATCAAAAAACAAATCTCCAATCCCAGACTCCACAAACTTGTACTCATTCTCAACAATGCTTGACTGATAATTGTTGACATGTTTCGAAAAGTCTGCCAATACAATGTACTGGCCTCTGTTACTTCTAAAGATCTCGAATTTAGAGTAATGCATCCATAATCCTTACTCCACATTTCAGACATCTAGGTTTGGTGCTCTAGTGCAAATTTTCTTCTTTTTCCTTTCACATACATTCAGACCCATAGCGTTGAGTTGTCTTCTCACAATGATGGACAGAAAACGTGTGGATTTTGTTTTTCCAGATCTGAAGAAAGAGTACAGCCTATTTTTCTTCTCTTTCTCAAAGATGAAAGCTTTAAGTACTGTTTATGTGATAGTGACAGTTTTGGTGGTCTATCAGATCTTGCACGGCTATTAGGTTTTCTATATGTTTTAATTCAATTTTAGAACTTTTTGTTTTTTAAATTATTTTTCTTTAACTTCTTTAAGCAAGTGGCCTATTTTCTGTCCAATCTCCCCAGAAATCTCTCATTTAATCATTTTAGATGCACATGAGAAAGAAATTTCTAAGGCAGCTAAGCTATGTTTAGGTAAATGTTTGTGTGAACAATAATGACACAGCTACCCTTCAAAAAATCACACAGCTGTAACTGGTTGGTTTTAAGACTGAAAGGTGGAACGGTGAAAGTGGTAGCAGGGTGCACAAAAGTAAAGTTTAGACAAATTATACAATAATAGATTTGATATTATACTTGGTGGAGGCTTTTGTGTAATTGCATTAAATATACGTTTCCTGCTTTTTTTCCTGGTGCCGAATAAAAAAATGAATTGTATGTATGGCTTATTGACTAGAAATTGAAAAAGGATAGTCTCTGACTTTTGCACAGTATTGTACATGTTCTAAAAAAAATCATTAAATCCACCATTATACTCTAAATATATTAAACTGTTTTTTTAAAGCCACCTCCAGGCCAACAAGATCTCTCAAAGACATACCAAAAGAAAGCTCTTTCATTAAACCAAAAAGACACCTGGAGTTTGCTAAATGTCATTAGCTGAATTCTAGTCAGAGCAAAACCAGAACATAAACATCAAAACTGGGTAAATTGGGAAAATGAGGAATGATCACGCAGAAAAACAACTCTTTCCTATTATGAGATTGTACTGTCTTTCTCCCTTACTGACTGAGAGCACTAACAGCAAGTGTCAACATCTTCTTTACATCACGACTCTGAAGGCAGTTAATGTTGTCCACAGGTTTAATGACGTTGGAAGTTGTGAAACTACGAATAAAACATACATCTCGAATTAGTTGAGTGTTCTAATCATTGACATTTACATGAATAAGTTGCTCCCTGTAACACTGAATAGCTAGGCTAACATTATCAGTGCATGATAGAAGCATTGCTTACAGATGCTATATTCAACTAAGCAAAATAGCATAGAAACAGCATAAACTCAACAAATATCT